ATGCTACGAGCATTTTGACATGCAAGTGAACTGACAAGCAGCGATCTATCAGCGAATTATTGGCAGATTCGAACAGAAATTGCAGGATGGCATCGATTTGCGTGTCCACATTAAGTTCTTCTGTTAGAGAACTGCAAAGCTTGTAAGCAGGAAATACGACAGATCACTGGCAAGCGCGCGCACGCGCGCACACACACGCACACACGCACGCACGCACGCACGCACGCACGCACGCACGCACGCACGCACGCACGCACGCACCCTCCAGTTTTTGCCGATCAAATTGATTGAAGTTGAATATATTCAGTTGTTATATTTTGTCGAGAAATTTAACTATCTTCTACCAATATTCTGTAGGCAACATTGCACGTACGGTAAATTCTGTGTGGTCAAATTCAGTCTCAAATTCAGTTTTTTTTCTACCAACAATATTTATGACAAACATTTAGTTCGTTTTCAGCGAATTAACTCTGTCCAATATATAGAATAAAATTTATGAAAGGCGTATTAGACTTATCAGTTTACTTGAGATTAAAGTATTTTATGTACAGTTGTGTCTTGAACACGCGTGTGCGATACTTGGGGTATCTTTATGCGTTCTCCACAACACGAAACTTGACATGAGTGTCGGTACTTGAGCTATAAGAGAGCAAATCTTGAGACTTACCTTCCTTGACCTCCTTGCACTTCTCATCATTTTTATTACCACTCGTTTAATTTGATACATACATTGAAAGAATGATTTGGCTGAGGTATTTAAAAATATAGCTGTAGATCTGAAAATTTCTTTAACCAATCAAAATAAATACGTAGGATTCTCAAATTGATTGCTAGACTGTTGTACAATAATTATCATATCATGCTTGAGATTTCCACGTAATTATTTTGATGGTCCAATAAAATTATTTTTAAATCTGTATATAGCTAAATTTTTAGATACTTCAGCAAAATCGCATTCTTTCCATGTGACTAAATATTTTAAAAGTTTGCCTGTCAATATGATTTTTCGATCAAAATATAAAGAAACATATAACTGAGAATTTATCATTTTCGAATTTACACATTATTAAAAATAAATTGCTACTAGAAACAGTGAGATAATTTTACATACAATTATAATGTATCATTATTGTTTCATCTATTATAAAATCTTTAATTTAAATCTCAAATGAGAAAATTATAATTTTTATTTGTTAAATTCTAGCAATTCGAGATTTTAAAATTTATTAAAGAAGAATTGCTCTTGAAGATATTTTTCCTATTATCTATATTAATCATATTTAATTAATTAATTAAAACAAAAGACATTTTACTAAAATTTTAAAATTAATTTAGTACAGCGAAAAGACAAAGTCGTAAATATTATCGTTATTTAATGTGCATTTTTATTTAAGTTTTCGCAAATATATATATTTCCTATTTTTGACCGAGAAGAATCAATATTTTTTACTACGCGCGAGGCTTATCTTCTTCCTTGATGGAACTAACACCGCCTCAGTAACACGAACACTAAATACCAAAACGAAGGCTGTCAGCAACGTCGTTGAGCGACTCTTGTTGCACCTCGTGCGTGCATTCGTCGTCGACTTAATGTGCATTCCGCTCGCGACGTTCACTAAAGAAAAATTCCTTTCCTATTTTATTCGATCTCAATAACTAAAGACCTTTTGACGAAATTCAGTCAAAAAAGATCACTTCTCGAAAATCGCGATAAAGTTTTATTAAATTGTCTTGTTCTTAGTTCATGCAGTTTTTTGACTGTCGTTTCGTGGAATTTAATATTTTAGGTAATATAAATATTATATAATGCTTCTCGTAATAATTAAAATATAGCTTAATTAATTAATTCTTTTTTATTAATACGAGAAACATTAAAAAGACAAAACTTTATCACCCAAAAGCCTTTTCGCTACGAGAAATGCTAACAATGTTTTTTCTTCTTTTATTACTTCTCTCATTTTTTTCTCGCAAATATTAAGACATGTACTATTAAGAACATGTCCATTAATAGCAATAATAAAATTGTATAGTAAATATATTCTACATTAATGATAATTACAAAATTGTTGAAAACGAAAGGATTAAGAGTTCATGGTACAGCAACATAGGCTACGTTTACACCGTGCGTTTAGTCCGCGACCTATACGATAGGTGTCTTTGTTTAACCTACAGGCTAAACAAGGACATCTATCGTATAGGCCGCGGCCTAAACGCACGGTGTAAACGTAGCCATGGACTCTATACGTCCATTAAATTTAGGTAGGTATACGTTGCATCAGGTGATTTCTTCGTCGCATGCAATGCAGTGTGGTCTGTTATATGGCTGAATTAGTATACTTTTAAAACTTAAAGTGAGATAAATATATGTTTGATGATGTTTTGCTAAAGCAAGAAAGTTCTAGTACAATTTAATAGAAACCTCCCCCTCTCCCCTCTACAGAGTTTAACCACGAGCAATTTTATTCATTCGAGCACTACTATTTTATTCATTCTTATTTACTGAAGTTGACAAAAACAACGAATCAATCAAATGTTTATCATCTCATCATAGTCGAACTCTGTTGTAGACCGAGTCTCAGTGCACACAGTCTAAAGTAAGAACAAAAAACAAACCCATCATTTCAAGCCTCGCGTTCACATGAAGTCCCGAGAGCTATCAGAATCAATAGGAATCCGAGAAAAACCGTAGAACGGAAACATCCCAATTTCATCATCAAAGGGAACTTACCTCATAGAGAATCCGTCTTCCCCGAGATGTTTCCTCCAACCGCACCGATAACGTTCTAACGTCAGCACTATTTCGGGAGCTGACAAAAACCGATCGCCGCGTTTCCGCGATAGAAACAGATAGGAAAGCGCGACTTCGTAGATCTTAACACCGTCGGACGCGATTTTCCCAAAAGACTGCGCCGGTGTCTTGAACACGTGACGGACCTCTCTCCTCCCCGCTGTTGTTGCTCAAATAAGGCGCGACCGTCGGTCTAAAAAGACCGAAAAAGAAGAAGCCTTCCGCCGCAGTCACTTTTATGGCGGGCAAACATGCCCTTCCAGCAAACGTGGCGCACAGCGTTTCTTAACGACATATTGCTGTCGCTCACGATGCATCCTGTCCGTCTACGAAGCGTTTAACATTGAAATTCAACAAATCCGAGGTATAAATCCTTGCGCGGAAACCGCACAATTTTGATATCGTTTTTCTTATGATCTACTTAATTTCTTACAAAATATACCGTTTGGACAATATTTTCTTTTTTTAAATCTTTTTTATATAATTAAGACTTTTTCTAATGCTATAAGAAGGTAAAAAAAAAAAAAGGAAACTTGCTTGAGTTTTGATAAAACGCGTCATTTTTATTCGTCGTTCGATGACGATATGTCTCCAAACTGTCTGATGACTGATATTGGGGAATTTGCCAGTCGGGAGATGAAGTAAATATCTGGAAAAAATCTTCCGCGGTATCAACAAACTTATCGTCACCGCAAAACGTTGTGACGTAAACGACTTATGTGGGGCTACTGTTTTACAGTTGAATCATTCGCGTTTATAGCATGTATGACACCCCCATTGACGTCATAGATCCCTTGTTTCGAGCAAATCGATGCTTTTAATTATCAACTAAAAATCACAATAAATTAATGAATTTGTAATTATTGCGAAAAAATTATTTTTTCAAAATATTTTTTACTATATTCAAAGTATCATTGAACAACATAAAGACATAAGAAATGAAATTCTTATTCTCGTAATATATATGAAATAGTTTATTCTTATATCTCACACAATTTTTTAAAATTTCTAATTTATTTTGCGATTCTTATTCTTATTTACGACAGAATGTATTTTTATAAAATGTAACTTTTTATTTTTTACAATTATTATTTTATATCTAATGTTCTGAAAAAAATCGTTCATTAAAGTTTCGTATTTCATGAACACTTATGTCATTTATAACACATATCTATTTGAATAATATCAGGATGGAAAATCGGGTACAAGATCAGTGAAAAGATCGATAGAGAATTTTCTTAGCAAACATTATTTAATTCTACAGACTTACTTTCTGTGTTCAAGACTTAAATTAATTACATCGATTAATGAATTATAAATATAAATAGGATACGGTAGAGATGCATCAACAGCAATTTTTTAAAGCGGATGTATCTCTCGATGCGAGTCGCATTATTTGCATTTGAGCCACGATTGATCCCCATACAGCAGAAATGTCCAAATTAAATGTCACAAGACAATCTAAAGATATCGCAAGGTGTGTAGGATATCTGTATGATCGGGATATTTCTGCTGTGTGAGTCGTGATATTTGTGATACATCTTCCGTAACTATATTTTACATTTTTCTTTTTACATACTTTGTTTATTTACGTCGCAAATCGGGAATCAAGTTATCTACCTTTCTCGTGTATATTTCTACGAATTTATTGGACTATGAAGACCTTGAAAAATCTGCAATTCTAAAACTGTATGCGCATAAGTCAATGATTTCCAATTCTAAGTAAAGCAAATAAATGTTAATGAACTTAATGAAGTATTAATTTTTATAGCTAGTCTTAGCTATTGAGATTACGTCCTATTAATTCGAAAATATGTGTGAAAATGTAAGAAGTTTTCAAACTAAAAGTTTCAAGATTTACAAGAGTTCACGTATTGAATTCATTCAATGTTACTTAATAAAAAATTGCCATGATGTTAAATTTAACTTCTAATTCTGCGTACTTTTTTTTTAAAATATCGAAATGCACGTGAGAGAATTTAACTTTAAGATTGGTCATTTTCATTCTCAAAAGTGCGAGGCGTTTCAACGTTTGAGATACGAAACTTTCAATAGAAATAATTTTACGAATAAATTGAAGTATGCAGGACTCTCGATAATAAACGTAGAAATAATGTGGCAAATGAGAGTAATAGCACGGTTAGCGGAGCGTAATTTTTTTTTAATATATTATGTATAAAATCTATTACATATATTATAAATTCTTCGAACGTTTCGGTCTCATTTAGGGCCATCTTCAGTAAATTTTAGCGAACAAAGCAAACCTCACGCTCAATCGTAATGGTGATCAATAATAATTTAACGGATTTAATGACTTGTCTCTTTTCTTCGGAAAAAAATGTCTTCACATACTGTATTTGATCTGATCGTAGTACATCGTCGTAGGTGGAGATGTCGACGCGTGATGAATATTCGTAGAAACTGTGCCAGGTATATTGGATATGCTTAGGCCGCCGATGTTGCTCAGATTTAACGAACCTAGTGAACTTAGAGAGCTCAAGGTCACCGAACTTCCCGGATGCGCGAAATAGGATGGTTTCCGGTCAATGATGCCGCCGCCAGAACTGTTCGAACTGGAGTTGGAATTGGTGCACTGCATTTTTATTCCTGAAACAGATTAGATTATCAATTATTTCGAAGCTATCTCTTCATAAAAGTATACCTCTCTAAAATACTACTTAAAATTCTTTTAGCAATCTATTAATTTTCTTTTAGTAAAATTACAATTGAACTACTGTGCTTAAAAATTGATACTTTAACCTAAATTATTCTACTTAAAGTCGGTTATTAAAACTCGGTTTCTAATCTTTAGAGTTATAGCTTATAATTTAAGGACTTGCGGTCGATACTCGTGGATTTCTTTGTTAGTTTTAACGTAAAGTGTGAAGTCCGAAAATATTTGATTCCGATCTTCAAACATTCTATGTATCCGGATAAGATTTCATCCAGTTTTGCTACTTAAGAATGCACACGATGTAAGAGTAACGGTGGAAAGAAACGAAAGATCTCACGATAGAAATTGGTACTTAGGCACAGGCATCCATAAATCTAAAGCTCCGCCAGTTCTCAAGTAGCTTTCTCTCGAGCGGCCACTTCACTCGTGTCTCAATTTTATTCTGTTTTTTTTTTTTCTCTTTTGCATCCCCATATATTAATTTTTGCTTTTCACAAGTGGATCACAGATTTACCAAGATTTGCTTGATCTCCTTTGAAAACTTTTCTCTTTTCTTGCAAGAACGCTTAAAATATATTTTGCATATATCGAGCAAATTTTTAATATAATTTAGATATTTTAACTTCCTAAAACTTCGAAATTTCGAAATTACGTCATGTCATTCCTCGAAGATTTGAAGATTGGCGAGTTCTCTCGATTCGACATCGCGACGCCTCGGAAAGACGTCCACGTGGGTGGTCCGATGGCGCTGCTGCCAGTCAAAATCCCTCTCCGTAAATCCAAATGCTCTCGGGCACGACCGTGCTTGCGCCATTTCTTCTTGTTCTTCTTTTTCTTTTTCTCTTCTTCGGGAGCACACCCGCGGCAGCGCCCGCGCGAGGATGCTGGCTTTCAAGAAGCACAGAAGTTGCTTCTAACCGAATACCGGCACAACAGGCCATAGTTCGGAGCAAAGAGATCGCGCTCCAGAAATATACGGAGAGCACGGCGTGTAAGAAGAGTAAAAAGACATGCCTGCGTGGCGTCTGTGTGGATCGATCTCGTTTACACTTCACTGTGACTGACGGAAGACGAATAAGAAGAAGAAGAACAAGAAGTCTGCGGTGGAGGAAGCGTGGGTGGCGGCGTTTATCTCCTGTCGATCCGCATTGTATCGAGATACAGAGGAAAGAGACTTACTCTCCTTAATCGAGATTAGACCAATTTTCGTAAATCGGGATAGAAGCTTTTGTAGAAACTTTGAAACATGCTGATAAATATTTTCGCCGCTTACTTCGACCAATTAGGTTGTACGCATAATGATATCAAATTACATGTAATTCAAATACGTCTGAAATTTTTTTCAGATACTTTAAACGTTAAACTTGCAGAAATAGTTTAGAATAAATTATTTAACCAGTTTTTCAAAAAGCATACAGCATTGTCAAGAAAAAAAAATTTATTTTATTCGAGATTTATAAAACAGTCGGATTAACTAATAATTGTTGAAAAGTTTAAGAGCGAATCGAAGACTTATGAGGGTTTAAATAAACGATTTGCGGATCTCGACGTGCTATTGGTAAGTTAACGCCGTAAATATTACGATGCTCCATTCTCTGTAGGGTTAAGGCCGAATTAAGTCACCTCGTTTATACCTTCGATAAATATTTAGGCGATAAACGATTTGAGCGCGCACTTGCTAGCACGCGACTACACTGAAGAGGCAAAAAGCATTTTACGCGCGTTTCACTTCAATAGTGATTATTTTGTGTGATGCATGTGTGAAACATCTACTTATCATATCGACTTCGTTTATCAAAGAAATGGATGCCTTTCTAAAATATTATCAACACAAAAAAAATTTAATCTAAGAAAATGCATTTAAAATATAGTTGCATAGGCTGCGAATAAGACATCTCAAGTTCAGTACGTATAATATATCTTTGCCTCGCAGGAAAAACTGTCAAGTGTTTTGTTATCGTTGCCATAACGCGGTGTTAACGAGCGTTTTATTATCGCGTTGTTGGGCATAGACGTTGGCTAAATTAATCTCGCGAGGAAAGGAAACGACGCTTCCAGTCTTACGGCGGGTTACACGTGTTAAGTTACAAGGTACAAGTTACGAGCTCGAAGCGTCGTACAGGCGTGACAGGGACGTCGCCTCAGTTAATCGTTTCTGTCAACGGCGCCGATGTGCACTGTATCCACCCATCCTGTGTATTCCAGTGATATTAATCTTTTTAACACACTATTATGGTCAATCAAAATTATCTAAATAAATTTTGATATTAATTATTTACTAATACAAATTATTTAAATACACCTTATGTTTGTATATTTTTTTGTTTGATATGGTGTGAAAGTAAATGCAATACGCAGGATTCGCTATACTTAATGTTGTGTATGTTTATACTGTTTGTAAATATAATTACGTATTAATGCATTGTAGATTTATTGAGCACTATAGATGTAATTAAAAAAATTAAATTGAATTGAAATGATATAAAATACGCTCATATAATGAAAATTATATGATAATTACATTATCAAAGCGGAGAATAATTTTAAACTGAATGGATCCAATTAAATAAAAATTAATAAAAAATTACCTCTTCTATAATAAAACATTATCTCTTTTGTACCGATTTGTCGAACTTTGACCTGATATACCCATGAAATTCTATAGCTATAGAGGAAGGATGGAAGGCTCGAAAGAGTAGTGCTGTCGTTTTACTTTGCAGGACACGGCGCCTGAAAGATCGTAAACTGTCTCCAATTTTCCAGATGGCCCCTAAATGACGTCGCGGATCCATCAACATTGTCCTCGCGATGCGAAAAGAATTCAAAAATCGCTGCAGGCATGATTTCGTTTCGTTGCATTTGTTCGCGTCATGTTCTACGGTTTCGTATTTTATTCAAGCTCGTATAAATTTTTAAAAAATTTTTCAACAACGTTCCAAAAGATTGCTTTCAATTCAAGTACCTTCTCGTGTTACCTTCTCAATTCGAGTAAATATCCCACGCCTCTCATTTGTAAACCATTCTATCTTCCGTTTTTGCAATTTCTTTTTATATTCTTATTTCGTATTTTATATTACACTTTTAGTATTATATATTATGTACCTATTACAACAAGTTACACAACTTTACATAAGATAACATTAGTCATTCGGTCATACAAATCATTAAAATTAAAGTTTTAGAGGTGCAGACTTTTTCGACTAGTAATAATATTTTATAAAATTTTTACTAAAGTTTAACCTAATAATGGATAAAATAATAGAGAATGTCAAGACAATGGCTGGATACAAAAAAGGAGACAAAAAATTTTACATAATGTGTTATGCAGATGACGCAGTACTGATGGCCGACAACGAAGATGATCTACAAAGGACTCTATACAGATTCAACGTTACAGCTAGGAAATATAACATGATTATTTCGGTGGAAAAAATAAAATGCCTGACGGTTGCAAGGGAACCGATGAGGTTCAAGTTAGAAGTGGATGGGAAAATAATAGAGCAAATAATGTCGTTCAATTATTTGGGAATAGAAGTAACGAGTGACCGCAACATCTACATGGAGACAATAAAACAAATAAGAAAAGCAGCAATTGTCTCGGGAACATCGAGAGAGATAGTATGGAAGAACAAACACCTCAGCATAGAGGCTAAGGCAAGAACATATAAGACCTGTGTCCGTTCAATATCAACCTACGCGATAGAAACTAGAGTGGACACGAAAATAAAACTAAACAAGCATTAAGAACATCGGAAATGAAAATCTTAAGATCCACGGTAGGGAAAACAAGACGTGACCGCGTAAGAAATGATAACATAAGACAACAATGCAATATTCAGGATATCGTAAGATGGGGAAGAGAACGAAGGAGGAACTGGAACCAACACATCTCCAGAATGAACAGGGATAGGTTAGTGAAGATAGCACGAGATGGCAAACCAAAGGGATCTAGACTACCGGGAAGACCCCCGAAGAGATGTCGGGACAGCTGGACATCAGTCTCGCAGGAGGATAAGACCAAAGGCCTAACGTAAGAAGAAGAAGAAGAAGAAAATTTTTACTAAAAAATTATGTAACATATAAACTATTTAAAAACTAATGACACAAACTCATAATCTAAATAGTGATACACAGAAAGCTGTTTTAAAAATTATTGAGACTAATTTTTAGCAACTTTCAATGCTTTGGCAACTAATAACGCGATTAAAAATACATACATGACAGAACAAAAACAGAACAAAATACTATGAAGTTACACGATAACTCACCGTGATCCGCGGCAGGAGTCGGACACCCACTGTGTGGCGAACTGACGTTGGTCACAGGGCTGCTGTTACCCGGCTGCTCCTGCATAGATTGCATGGTGATATTAACGCCGTGGCCGACAGCATTGTTGACCCCCGCGAGGCCATAACCGACATAATAATCTTGTCCAGGCGCTTGAGTGGTAGGTGTCGAGTTAGCACACTTGTAACCCATCATGGCCTCGTCCTTGTAGTCGGCGTGATGTTGCGGATGATGATCCTTCATCGTTGAGAATCCGTCGGTCGATGGCCTGTACGCCGTCAGCTGATCCTGGCCACGAGCACCGAAAGATCCAGGCTCGCTCTTGAACGTCACTAACTCACCGTTCCTGTAGACCGGCGCTGGCTCGCCGCCGGTCTTATACGTGACTTCGGTGGTCTTGTAAGTCACCTCGGCTATCGACGGCCCAGACTTGTACGTCGCTGAACTCTCCGGATATGCCCAATCGGCGGACACCGCCGCACTCGGCGCGTACATGGCGTACTCCTGGTAATTTTGATACTGATTCTGGTAGCCGTTCGCGTATTCGATGCCACCAGGTCCGGCGGCTAGATTTTCGTAGGGACCAGGCGTCTGCACGCCGACTCCGGGTGCGGCGCTCGAATAATATTGCGGATATTGCGGCTTCATCGCTTGACACTTGCGTCGAAAGCCGCGTGGTCGCCGCCGAAAACTGCCCTCCTCGAACATGTACTCAGTGGAAGGATCGATGGTCCAATAGTGACCTTTGCCGGGTCGTCCCAAACCCTTGGGCAGCTTGATGAAGCATTCGTTCAGACTGAGATTGTGGCGCACCGAATTCTTCCAGCCCTGATAAGTGCCACGGAAAAAAGGAAAACGCTGCTGCAAAAATGAATAAATCTCCGAGAGGGTCAGCCTCTTGCCTGGACTCGACTGGATCGCCATCACAATCAGCGCGATGTAGGAATACGGCGGTTTTTCCTGGCGTCGCGAGCCAGGTTTCCTCGCCTGCATCTCGCTACTCGTCGGATTGCACATGAGCGGTTCTAAGCTTGTCTCCTGGGGCAGACTACCTGCGCTCATCGGCAATATCGATCGTGCGGTCGAAGAGTTTGGATGCACGACAACCGTCTGCTCCTGTTGCTGGTGCAGGTTGCTGGCGTCGGACTCGTTCTTCATGGTCAACCGCATGTTATCGATGCCAGGGTCACGGGGCATCGACGGCACGATTACGCTCTGGTCCATCGAGCTCTGATTCCCGGCTGTCAAAGTCCGCCGGTGGCGAACATCCTACACGCGAATATATCCCTTGGATTTCCAGGATATAGTCGGAGTACCACAATCTTTGAACACACTATTCCGAAGAACTATGTTGAAGATTTCTTCGAGTGATGCTCGGCACGCAACAGTAACACGATTGTACCAAAAAACGGAAATGGCACGCGCTATATTTTACTGAAAAATCAACATCGCGCGAGCCGATCCGTTCGAGGATCCCATCGTTCAGCGGAGCAACGGCCCCCGCCGCCCGAGGGGGACCTTCGCCGCCTTGTAGTAAGCGCGACGCCGAGGTCGCGGATATTTACACGGTTGGATGTAAATTGTTTGCGCGATTCTGCCGCGGAGGGGTCAATTATTTAGACTCGCTTCGTCGGCACGTAACGGGCTTACGTCGGGGCTCGAGTCGCTATGATGCGCCGCTAAGTGTTTTCGGATGACTGCTGCTCGCCTCGCATGGCACGGGAGCGGAATCTGGATCACGGATGACGTTGATCGCGGCGTGACAGGGTCAGAAACGGGCGTCCCCCACGTGGGCGGTTCGGACCAAGTCGGGCATCCGGGATTCGGATTGGTCATGTGCTGATGTTCCACACGAAAAGTCAGATGCTGTGCCCAATGGCGCCCCGTACCGCCTTCGACTCCAACGTTTTCTCCTTTCATCGTCATGGAATTATGGGGAAGTGAATTGCGTAATGACGTTATTTGGATTTGTCGGCGAAGGTACGTGACATTGTACGACTCGTTACAATCTGTTACAATAATTATACAAGAATGTTACAATTATCTTTGATTCTGCCAGAAGAATATGGGATAGAACTTGATATTCGCTCGCTGAAGCGACGTGAAAATGTATATCCAAGAAATGAAGAAATATTGATTAAAATCCGCATGATATGATTTTAGAATATTAAAAGAATCCAGAAATCCGTCTGAGAGTCGTCCAAGGGATGTCTCGAAAATTCAAAAACATTTCATCCTTTTAATTTCTCATTAGTAAATTCGAAATTTGAAGTATGTAGATCATAATGAGACACTCGTAAAAGAGAAAGATGTAATAGTTACCACAATTCAGAAAACATATGAAAAATATATGTCACGAAAACAGATTTTTTATGTTAATTTATATGGCTTCATATCGTAATAGTTGCGTTAAAGAAAAATAACGATCGAACCGAGATATGTTATTGTTTTTAGAATGGGAATGAATCAAATTGCATTCATCTAAATATATATATCAATATACATATTTTAATGAAATAGTAATTAATAATGTTTATTCAATAATGTTTGCAAAAATATCAAAGTCGCTTATTAATTCTAAATATTAAATATCGTTAAATATTAAATTATGAAGATCTTTGTAACTTTAAAATTAAAAATCTTCTTAAATTAAAAATTGTATTAGAATTTCAAATTTTACGTTGAGATTTTATTTATTTAAATAAAATATTTATATTTTATCAAAATATCCAATCATTATAATTGAAAATCTAATTAAAAACTGTTGTTTTCATTATGAAAAAAATTAGCTTTAGATTAAGTAAAGTTTTCATGATTGTACATTGATTTCAAGATATCGCGAATGTATTTGAGTACACTTGATATCAGTTTATTGACGCAAAATTCCCACTACGATGTAAACGTTCAAGCGTTCGCCAATATCCTTTTTCACGAGCGGTTCGTACTTAGTTTGCTTGAAAATTACAAGTGAGTATTGCTTCGTCGGATATCGCTATCTGTATACTTACGATGAGTAATGTATCCGTCTTCGGAACCGCGTGATGCACAGCCGCGAATGCATATGACGCGAAGACGAAGAGGATCCTATTGGTCCATTTCTTAGCCAACGAGATGCTGCGAGTTTTGCTCCGCCCGCTAGTATATAGAACCGCCTTAGCTGTCTACTCACATCAGAGTCGTCGCAAAACAGCAATTTTTTCCTCGAGCGAAAATCTCCTACATCAATTTTCTTCAAATTTGGAACCAACGTGTTGCTATAAAATAAAACAGTTAAAACCTCGACAAAAAATTGAAGTTATTTGTCTATTAATAATTAAATTGCTAACAATTAAAGGTTGTATTTCAATTAAAATTCCTTCAAATAATATTTCTGTTTTATCTAGAAAGAGATAATTAATTGAAGAGATAATTAATTGAACGTCTGAATTTTTTCTAAGCGGTTTCTTTTCCACGAAAATTTGAAGGATTTGGAAATATTGCCTTATTTTGAAACATATATTAATAAATTAGTACACAGAGAATGTCTAATATTTTCAAATATATGTGTGCATCATTCAGACATCTAATAAACGTTCTTTTTCTTTTAAACCATCATTAAAGAATTATCACATATATTTTGTCTTTCCAATTTGATTACGATATAATTATAACTGACTGTGAAGGCTAGAAATAATTTTATGGCACATTTTGCTGCGCGTGTAAATCCTCGTACGTCTTCGAACGATGCTTATCAGGCAATCGTCACTCGATACCAAAGAGGACATCAATGATCAAAATGTCAATGTCGGTCGATCGAGACGAGATGTTTATTCGCCTTCACGCGTGACCGAGTGTCGAATGACCAACAACGACAGAAAGAGAATTCATGCCTTATCACGGCGCCCTATTCCACGTGCTTCATTTTATTGCGATCCTTAAGAGACTGGTCTCGAAGGGATGGCACTTTCGAGAGGTCATAAAAGGGAAATTTTACTCATAAAATACGAGAGTTCACCGTGGTCTCCAGCGAAAAGAGTGCATCCGCTAAAAGGGAAAAGATGCTATAAAATTACAAAATGTATCCAAATAAATTAACTACAGAATTTATTTATGATAATTGACGTAGTAATCGTCCATCGTGTAAGATCAATCTTTAATGTAGAAACTTTTACTCAAATTTTTATAATGAAGATCGGCAATTTTTCATGCTCGATTGGAGCAATAATAGATATTTAATTTCTGAAAAAAATTGTACATTTGTTTTATTTTTTCGGATTATGTTGTTCAAGAAAGAAGATAGAGAACAAATATTAGATCTATAGGTATAATAACACTGGGGGACGTGATTTTTGCTGTTTGAATAAAAGATAGCATTTCCGATGTATTTTCGCGCGCTGAACACGAATCCGGCAATGAAATTGCTCTATCACGTCTGGTTTGTGAGAAAAGTGAAGTTAAAGGTGTCAAAATTGACATTTTTTGACATATTTGTGATTTTTTTGCTAGCGAAGTAAATTTTTTTTTCTACTTTCGTTTACGCCATCTTAAAGTGCCAACTTTTATCTTTAAAATATATTTTTTTTAACGCTGTACGTTTTGTTTTCACCGAGATAATTTCTGCGTAGTCACGCAAAGAAAAACGTTCTGTGCCAAAAAGGTTTTTGAAGAAAAAGTTTTAAGAACTGTGTGATGATTTTAGTAGCAAAGTTTTTAAGGTGTAATCTATAGATCATCAATAATTCATTTGTTATCAATTAAATTGAACATTAGAAAAATGGTGGCGAGATTTTTAGATCACACGGTGAATACTGTAGACCACAAATTCTTAGGAAGAGTTTGTTTGCCTTAAAGCAAACGAGCCGACGAAAGAACAGCAGCGCGGCCATCTTGTCTCTGTCTTCGTACTTCCTCTCTGCAACGAGCGTCGGGTTCTTCTTCTTGCGATCTGTGTCGTCTATCCGTTTTCTTGGCTCGTTTGCTTTAATTACGACAATGAATATTATGTCGTACATATCGAGTTCTTTTGATTACTGTAATTCTATAAAATTAAAAGGCGATGCTACCGCTGTAAAGGGTAAATTAAATTCGAATTTTATGTGATTCTATCATATGTTAATTTGTCCCGAAAGGTATAAGTGTTTTGGAAAAAATACAAATTCAGAAATTTAAAATTGAATATTACTACTAACACAGATTTGTATTATAATATAAAAAGGACTTCAAGGAATCCTTTTTTACGTAAAAAAATCCTTTTTCATATAAAAAGAATTCTGTCAAGAGAAACTTTTGGAAAGAAAAACAATATCCATTGTATTATTATATTTACATTTAAATGCGAACATTCGCTAGGAGGTTGCCCACGTTAGTAAAGGGCCTCGTGTCTTAAGGGTTGAAAGTCAAGTGTTTTGGCCCTCGTGATGATCTCTCCTCTCTTTCTCCTCTAAACCGAGAGCAACCCTCGTGGTACCGCCTGTTTACCGTTTTACTACTTTCGAGCCCTCCCGTGACATTTTCTGCGACAGCCTCAAGTGCCTCTCCAAGGGAAAGTAATTGGCTTCCGCCATAAAAACCAGAAGAAAGTGGAAAGATGTATATAGTGCATCTCGGATGGCAATTAAATATTATTTGTATACAGAATACTTCGACTCTAACACTACAGGAAATATCGCCATATCTTACCACTCCGTTTTTTTATCTATATTCATTAATTTCTTATTATTAATCTAATCTAATATCATTATATAGTCCGGAAAAGAATTCGGCGCCCAGTTCGAAAGACTACAAATATGATATATATGCAAGTACATATACAGTATATTTAATAATTCAAGATTGAATTATGTAAGCATTAAAGGTCTAGCTTCGACCGTTATAGACATTTTAACATTGATTGTGTTCTCATTAATTTCTATTTGTCAATTATTTATGATGTAAACGCGAAAAAGTATATTATTAGTATTCCAGCAAGATTTCGACGAGCGGCTGCAGTCGGCACATTAGTAGACAATCGGGCGACTTTATTGCGAGGGTCGTGGATACTTTATTTAAGATAAAAGCGCCTCACAAAACCGGGACCACCCCGGAAAAACTCGTGTCGGTTGCACGTGTGCTCGTAGGAAAACCGCAAACCGGAACCAGAGATTACGGTCAGGGTGGCTTCCGCGCGTTTATACGTATATGGCAGGGCGGTCCTTTTAATTACCTCGACTGTGTTTCCGAGAGTGATTATAAGATACTGTTGTTTTCCCTGCTGGATGCAAATTTCTTGTGGAAAAAAATGATTTTTCAAACGAAAAGAAGCGAGTAAATTATTTTGCTCTATCCACATAATCTTGAAATGATAATTATTTTTCTAAAAATTATTATTTCTATACACTATTATAACTTCGTACCTCATTATATCTAAATT